AAAAGGTAAAGTGTGAAAGAAAGGATGCTCCACCTTTCAAGGTTGTTGTACTACAGTATTGTGATGATTGAAATGATTTGTGGAGTCGAGAAGTTGCTATGCGCTGTCATGGTGTACATGACTTGTCTGCAGCTGAGGCACAGTATCATGTTCGCTGTTATGATGAATTCAGAACAATTCTCGTGCATGCTGATCAGAGCCCAATGATTGATGATACTGCATTGTCATTGCTTGTTGATGAGATGTACACTAAAAGAAAACTATGTACTTGAACATCCATTGAACTGCATGATGAGTATGTGAGTCATGGTGGTCAGTTGACACGAAAGCAAATGTTTACCAATCTGGTATACATATGAGATACAGAATCAATGCAAGGTGGAGAAAAACACGTTGCATAAAGAAAAAGATGTTTCACTGCCCGTGTTGGTCCGTAAGAACACAAATTCATAGTGATCTCAAAGGCTATTGATAACTTTTTCGTCAGAGTAATAAAATAAGAGTGAACAACCTTCGGAAAAAGAAGTAGACGTTGTTTACTTGAAAACTGAAGAACAGGTGTAAGATATTGGTTACTTATTGTGATTACAGCATACATTTATATTATTACATTGTATATATTCACAGAATGTATCTACTATATTTTAAAAATATATGACAGTTTATCTGTTATGTAACCCTTATAACCAATGTTGTGCTAAAAAGCGTGGGGTACCCCAGCTGCCTTCGTTCGAGAAAACAGACGGAGGCCGATGAAGTAAGAGAGGGGTTGTTAGTGAGTTTATTTTCTTGCTGGATTAAAAAGACAATAAAAACAAAAAGTCAGATTTCAACAACAAGAACAATAGTATCCCGGTGGGTAAGAAGGTATGCATTGCTACATTCCAGCATACTAAATGTTGTGACAATTTGCGGAGTTCAAGTTTCTCACTAATAACTAATATTGGTAAACTTTCAAAGTATGCAAAAACTTGTAAATAAGATGGTTTCTAAAACAATGACCAAGCACAAAGTCTTTGTATTGGCATCCTTAACTTATGATATCTTCCATTACAGAACATTTTATAATAGTTTACATTTATTCATGATTAGTTTACATCTATACACGCTGAAAGTTTCACATTACGTCATATCCATAAATTAGTGTTAATAAAACTTTGTTCCTACATCTCTACATGCTGACAGTTTCACAGTACATCAAATCCATAAATTAGTGTTAAAAAAACTTTGTTCCTATATCACTACATGCTGACAGCTTCACAATACATCATATCCATAAATTAGTGTTAAAAAAACTTTGTTCCTATATCACTACATGCTGACAGCTTCACAGTACATCAAATCCATAAATTAGTGTTAAAAAAACTTTGTTCCTATATCACTACATGCTGACAGCTTCACAATACATCATATCCATAAATTAGTGTTAAAAAAACTTTGTTCCTATATCACTACATGCTGACAGCTTCACAGTACATCATATCCATAAATTAGTGTTAAAAAATTTTGTTCCTACATCACTACATGCTGAAAGTTTCACATTACGTCATATCCATAAATTAGTGTTAAAAAAACTTTGTTCCTATATCACTACATGCTGAAAGTTTCACATTACGTCATATCCATTAATTAGTGTTAAAAAAACTTTGTTCCTACATCACTATATGCTGACAGCTTCACAGTACATCATATCCATAAATTAC